GGCTCAGCCAGGCCTTCAAATGCTAATGAAGGTGGTCAGCTGAAACATTCACACCTAGCTTCAGCAGAGAGCTCTTTGCCCCACCCCAGTCATTCCACAGATATATAAACCCATTTTCCTATTTCCAACAGACCTCACTACCTCTGAGGATGCTTGCCATAGATGCAGGCGAAACGTCAGGAGAAATGCCTCTAGAACATGGCCCTATAGCCCGAAAAAACCTACAAGAACCTAGAGTCCCTCTCTCTCTGCTTCTTTTTCCCCTCCATGAGGCACTCTTCTTAGAAGCCTATGCTCCCCTCCCCCCCAGGAATGAAAGGAAAAGGCTTGGGAAAGCTTCAGAGAATTATAATAATAATAAACCTTTATTTGTACCCCGCTACCATCTCCCGAAGGACTCGGTGCGGCTTACAAGAGGCCGAGCCCAAATACGTAGTAAAACAACAGCACAACAAACAGCATAATAACCCAAAAAACAAAACAATAACATTAATAACACGCAATGACGCAATTAAAATCAATGGCAGGGCCAAATGTAATAATTAAAATTAAAAAGTGCTGGGCATGACCAGGTGGGGTGTTTGGAGGGGGATGTGCATGCAGATATCCTAGATCTCTGATAAAGTGCTTTGGGACATAATGCAAGAAGTTTCCTTATTCTGGAAAGGCACACTGGAACAACCACATTTTCAAGCTCCTCCTAAAGATTGCTAGCGACGGGGCCTGCCTGATGTCCTTAGGGAGAGAGTTCCAAAGTCGGGGAGCCACCACCGAGAAAGCCCTATCCCTCGTCCCCACCAATTGCGCTTGCGATGCAGGTGGGATCGTGAGCAGGGCCTCTCCAGATGAACGAAGAGATCGTGTGGGTTCGTACACAGAGATGCGGTCACGCAGGTAGGCGGGTCCCAAACCGTTTAGGGCTTTGTAGGTAAGCACCTGCACCTTGAATTGGGACCGGAAAATGAAAGGCAGCCAGTGGAGCTCCTTAAAAAGGAGGGTTGACCTCTCCCTGTAAGGAGCACCAGTTAACAACCTGGCCGCCGCCCGTTGGACCAATTGAAATTTCCGGGCCGTTTTCAAGGGCAGCCCCACGTAGAGCGCATTACAGTAGTCCAATCTGGAAGTGACTAAGGCGTGGACCACCCTGGCCAGATCCGCCTTCACGAGGTACGGTCGCAGTTGGCGCACGAGTCTTAATTGTGCAAAGGCCCTCCCGGCTACCGCCGACGCCTGAGCTTCAAGCGACAGAGATGAGTTCAGGAGGACACCCAAACTGCGGACCTGTGACTTCAGGGGGAGTGTAACCCCCTCCAGCACAGGTTGCCAACCTATACCCTGATCCAGTTTACGATCGACCAGGAGGACCTCTTTCTTGTCGGGATTAATCTTCAGCCTGTTCTTCCTCATCCAGACAGCCACAGCAGTCAGACACTCGTCCAGCACCTGAGGGGCTTCCTTGGAGTTAGGCGGAAAAGAGTAGTAGAGTTGTGTGTCATCTGCATAGAGATAGCACCTAACTCCAAAACTCCGGATGATGTCACCCAGCGGTTTCATGTAGATGTTAAAGAGCATGGGAGACAGAATGGAACCTTGCGGGACCCCACAGGTCAAAGGCCAGGGGACCAAGCAGGCGTGTCCTAGCTTCACCAACTGGGAACGACCCTCCAGGAAGGAACGGAGCCACAATAGAACCGTGACTCCAAGGCCCATCCCGGAGAATCGTCCCAGAAGGATACCATGATCGATGGTATTGAAAGCTGCTGAGATGTCCAGGAGAACTAACAAGGTCACTCTGCGGAGATCATCCACCAAGGCAACCAAAGCCGTCTTGGTGCCGTGGCCAGGTCTAAAGCCAGACTGTGACTGGTCCAGGTAATTGATGTCATCCAGAAAACCCTGGAACTTATTATTATTATTATTATTATTATTATTATTATTATTATTATTTTACTGACACAAAAGCACAGTATGTCACAGCAAACGAGATCTCTATGCTGGATTTCGTATCACAAAATCACAAGTCGAACACTTCCCAAGCGTCTAGGACTGTGTGATGTATTTTCGAATGATGCACGCAGATCCAAGTAAGGTGGCCTTTTGCAGTCGACAGATCGTGATTTTGTCAATGTTTATTGTTTCCAAATGCCAGCTGAGATCTTTTGGCACGGCACCCAGTGCACCAATGACCACTGGGACCACTTGGACTGGTTTATGCCAGAGCCTTTGCAGTTCGATTTTGAGGTCTTGATAGCGGCTGAGTTTTTCCTGTTGTTTTTTCTCAATGTGACTCTCACCTGGTATGGCGACATCAATAATAATAATAATAATAATAATAATATCTTTATTTATATCCCGCAACCTTGCGGTCAACAAGCTCAGTAGTTTAACCCACTGCAACCTAAGCTGATATTGGACGCAGGCATCAATATCTGTCTTTGGAATCATCTGGAAAAGGAAAAAAATGTAGGAGATAGGTTGGATTCTAATCTTTATTAATATGACTAAAGAGCTAGAAGGATGCCGCATGAGTCTCTGGTACAGTCTCAGAAGCCATTGTCTAATTCAGGGATGGAAACAGTGACTTCTTGGGATTTGTAATCGATGACAAGGTGAACATGAGTCAGCCGTCTGATGCAGCAGCAAAAAATATGATTGTCAGCTACTTTATAAAAGAGGAATTGTTTCTAATGAGCAGGAATGGTTTCACTTGATTCCGGGCAAGCTAGAACTTCTCTGATGTACTCTGAGCAGGCTTTACATGATAGGAATCAGATACTGCACTGGATCTATTCTTTGATGCCAGACAAGGCAGGACTGGATTGAATGGGCCTTAGTTAAAAAAATAGATTATGCACAAAATGGAGTCCCTGGTGGTACAGTGGGTTAAAACCTTGTGGTTCAAATCCAGGGAGCAGGGTGAGCTCCTGTCTGTCAGCTCCAGCTTCTCGTGTGGGGACATGAGAGAAGCCTCCCACAGGTTGGTAAAATATCAAACAGCTGGGCAATGTCCTTGCAGACTGCCAATTCTCTCACACCAGAAGCAACTTGCAGTTTCTCAAGTCACTCCTGACACGAAAAAAAATGGCCGAGATATGTTTTGATAATCAGAAATACTGGGTCAGAGTCTGTTCTTCACAGGAGATCTTCAAGCAACTGTTGCACCCCAAGCCTGAAGCCACCTATGACCGCAGCACCACACAAGAGTCCAGCGTGTAAACAAAAAGTTTATTGTAAAAAAAAAACCACACACACACACATTAAAATATATGGGGAAAAATCACGAATAAAGCAAGAAGAGGAATAATCCAAAATAGGTTAAGTAGTTGGTGATCATCACACAGGATTCCAAATGTCTCATGAAAATCCAAAGGTCACACAGTCCATGAATAGCCGAAAGTCAGAATTACAGCATAAATCCATAAGCAACAGATCTCCTAAGAAAACTTGAGCAAGAATCATGAAACCAGAGTACAAAAACCTTCCAAGATACATAAATCCAAAAACAGGGCTTGACTTGACACTGTTGGGAATCAACCTGTGCTTGTGTTCCAGGATGATCATGATGCTTCTGATGTGGGCAATGCTGTGAGAAATGATGAGGGAAATCATAGTGCCGAGGCTAAGGTGCAAGATGGAGATGGTTTGGTCAATGATTTTCTTGCAGACAATGACAGGGAGGCCCCAGTGCAAAGGGCAGTTTCTCATGAGAATATTCCTGCTGGGCATAGGGATGATGGTTTACTCCCTCTCTCTGTGAGCTCTCAAGATTTGGGTTTGGAAAACAATCTGACATCTGGAAATTTTAATGAGCAGCCAGAAAGGGAGTTGAAAAACAAGCAGCTGAAGTTCAGCCAGGACCAACAACAAACTCAAGGTTTATGTCGCTCCGAAGGGCTTCGTCAGATAAGAGTCAAGGGTGGGGGGAAATGAAACCATTTTCTGGGTTTTGGGATATAAGGTTTGCTTCAAGGGAAAACCTGTTAGATCAGGCATCATTTGGAAATGAAGTTCAGGTGCCTTGGAAATCCTGTTTAAGGAGTCTTGTTCTTGTGGATACTTCTAACCTTTTGGTGTTGATTAGCAGCGTTTGGATTGTCTTTGCATTTTGTTGATTCCTATCTGGATAATTATTGCCTTGGATTGCTTTTATAACTTTTGTGGACATTGCTTTGAGTTTCTGCATTTTACTGACCTTTTACTTTTTGGAACTTTCCTATTTTCTTACAAGCATTTCTTTCTACTGGCTATTTTACTAAGGATTTGTTTCTTCACTCAACGTGTGGTGTGTTTTAAAATCAGAGGGTTTTTTCCTGTCCTGAAGTGCAACAGACACAAGATCTCAGGCTTGGGTTCTCCCTTGAATACCAACGTTGCCTGAACTGAATTTAGGGCACACACTGGCTGTTAATAAGCCGACATGAAGTCATGGCATTTCCCATGGACTTTCTCTGTTTCTCACATAGCCCTGTTGATCTATGGAGCTGACTATCTGCCCTAATCCGCAAACATAACTCTTTGCTTAGCTCCGTACCACCAAGTGTTTTCCCTTGGGAGTTTTCTTCTAATTCGTCTTCACTTGACCCCTTATCTAAGGATATTGTTTCTGGCTCCTGTGGCTGCCCCTTGGAGCTCAGAGGCAACTGCAATCTCTCAGCCTACATCACACAGTCTTGCCCCTGTTCAGATGATGGTGGTTGCTGTTGTGTGTCTGTGGGCTGATGGTGGTAGCTGTTGTGTGTCTATGGACTTTGGTCAGCTTATGGCATAATTAATTCAGAGAGAAATTAGAAATTGAATAATTTTATGTGCCTTCAAGCAGACTTTAAATTATGGTGTCCCTGCCATAGGATTTCCTTGGCTAGATTCCTTCAGAAGAGGTTTGGCATGGACTTCCTGGTTGGCTTCCATGTCTGAAGCCGAAACCAGGACCAATTCAGCACTCAAACTGCTACTTCCTGATGACTCCTTGTCCAGCTAAGATGTCCTCTCTTTCTTTGTAGGCGGCCGGGAATCTTGGTCCTCATCAATGATTCTGACTGGGAGCTGATGGTATGTATAGCTTCTGTCTTTGTTGTCTGTCGGCTTGTTTTACATCATGCTGTTAATTCTCCCGAAATCAACTCAAATAATTGCTTCCCCTGATGAGTTTTATTTTGTTTACCGTGTGTGTGTGTGTGTATGTATGTATGTATGTATATGTGTGAAATAATATAAAACAGTGGAGATTATTATTATTATCCCCAGGTTGGTTATAATCAATATATTTCCCTACAATTCACACCATCCCTTGGTAGCCACCACTTGGTTTTTGATATAGTGCTCAAAACAAGTTACCATATATTCTCAAGTATAAGCCGACCTGGATATAAGCCGAGGCTCCTAATTTTGCCACAAAAAACTGGGAAAACATATTGACTTGAGTATAAGATGAGGGTGGGAAATGCAGCAGCTACTGGTCAATTCAAAAATAAAAATAGATACCAATACAATTACATTAATTGAAGCATCCGTAGGTGAAATGCTTTTGAATCTTTACATAAAACTGTAATTTAAGATAAGACTGTCCAACTCTGATTCAACCATTATGTAAAGCATACCTTCTTCAATGTAAATGTGCTCACGTATCCTTCCAATAATAATTAGAGTAAAATAATAAATGGAATAAAAATAATATTAGAGTAAAATAATGGAAATGTAAAAATAAGAGTAATAATAGAGTAAAACATAATAATAATAATAATAATAATAATAATAATAATAATGATAATAGACTTTGGCATAAGTTAGTAAAGGTGGTCCCAGTGGTGATCGGCACACTGGGTGCAGTGCTTAAAGACCTTGGCCTGCACTTAAAGACAACCTGCACTGACAAAATTACTATTTGTCAGCTGCAAAAGGCTACCCTACTGGGATTTGCATGCATGATTCGCCGATACATCACACAGTCCTAGACACTTGGGAAGTGTCCGACGTGTGATCCAATACAGCAGCCAGCAGAGTGATCTTGTTTGCTGTGTACTAATCTTTTTGTGTTTCTAATAATAATAATAATAATAATAATAATAATAATAATAATAATAATAATAGGGTAAAATAATAAATGTAATAATAATAGAATAAAATAATAGATATAATAATAAAAAATAAAATAATAAATGTAATAATAATAATAATAATAATAAAAAATAAAATGATACAGTGTTCCCTCACTTATCGCGGGGGTTCCATTCCAGGGCCACCCGCAATAAGTGAAAATCTGTGAAGTAGGGATGCCATATTAATTTTAATATTTATACATTATTTTATATATTTTATATATTATTTTCTTACCTGCGCTTCCTTACCTGCCTCCTGGCCCATCCCAAGAACACCTGCCTACCTCCCTGGCCTCCGCAGAGCCTCCGCTGCGCCTCAGGCCGCCGCACTTCTGGGGTCCCTGGTCTCCCTGGCCTCCACTGGACATAAATATTTAATATTTAATATTTTTATTAATATTTTCAAAAACCCGCGAAACAGCAGGCTCGCTAAAAGCGAACCGCGAAGTAGCGAGGGAACACTGTAAATGTAATAATAATAATAATAATAAATAGAGTAAAATAATGTAAATGTAATAATAATAATAAATAGAGTAAAATAATAAATGTAGTAATAATACAGTAAAATAATAAATTTCATAATAATAAATAGAGTAAAATAATGTAAATGTAATAATAATAATAATATAGTAAAATAATAAATATAATAATAATAAATAGAGTAAATTAATAAATGTAATATTAATATAGTAAAATAATCGCTTCTTCTTGCAGCAATACCAGAAGCACTCCAAGTGGCCAGATACTGGTCAAAGGACATTTAATCAACTACCAAACTCACAATTTTTGTATTTTGTATTTTTTTTTTTTGCTTTGTTCTGTTAGAAATGTAATATAACCGACTGGTTGCACTGACACGATAAATAAATAAAATAAATAAATAAGTAAAATAATAAATGTAATAATAATAAATAGAGTGAAATAATAAATGTAATATAAATAATAAATGTAATTAAATGTAATAAAATAAAGTAAAATAATAAACTATCTTGACTCGAGTATAAGCCAAGGGGGGCTTTTTCAGCCGTAAAAAAGGCCAAAAAAATTGGCTTATACTTGAGTATATACGGTACTATATTTTGGACTATGGCTTGCAGAGGACTGTAACCATCACAGGCACTTTATATGATTAGTCCAAAGCTTGGAAAAGTTCCTCCAGTGGAGGATTTCTATCAGCTGTAGACCAAAATAATAACTTTTCCAAACGGTGATCTTCCTTGACTGGTTTTGTGGTCCATCATTGTTTTGTTTTTGTTTTTCCTGGAGAACTTTTGAAATCCCATTTGGACCATATCGAGGCCGGTGCTTGGAGAACGGAGTTTGTTATGATTCCTTATGCAAACCTGAGAAGTCACCCCTCTCTTTCTCTCTCCCCCTTTTCTCTTCTTCAGGGGGAGCTGGACTACCAACTCCAAGACCAGGATAATGTGGTTTTCCTCTCCACCTTACATGGGGGTTAGATGGCCGGAGGAGCCAAAAAAGGACATTTTTTAAGAGAGAGAGAGAGAAAAATGCCAGCCCAAGAAAGGACCTCCCTTTTCTCCTCTTTCTGCCTTTGTCCACGATGTGTCCAACCAGATCTGGTTCCTCATTAGGCCCTTTCCTCCTCCCGCCTGCTCTTTTGATGCCTGCCTCCTCCCGCCCTCCGACCCTTTGTCCTGGAATGGTTTCGGCATCGGATCACCCTCTTCTTGCCTCCCAGAGGCTCGCGCTCCTGAACAAACGATGGAAAGTGAGCTCTTTGGAACCACGTGGGGCCCGGGCTGTGGATGAGCATCAGATCAGTCCTCCCTGACTGCCATGGAGCCAATGCCGCTCCTTCTCTCCCTTTCTCTCTCTCTCTTCCCTCTCTGCCAGCAGAGAGACTGAGATCAAAGAGCGGGGACATCCCTTCGAGTCTCTCACCCGTCGCTCGCATCAGCGCACAGCCTTTTTTCAGCACTGCAGTTTGCTGTTATCGGCTTATCTGGACTTCGGCTGCCAGGCATGGATTTCAGCAGCATAGCTCTCGAAAAGTAGATTTGCTTGAAAACGATGATGCTGAATTTGTGAAGCTGTGCCTTTTTGGTTTATAAACATCTTTTAGATCCGTGTTTCTCAACCTCCTTAATACAGTTCCTCATGTTGTGGTGACCCCCAATCATAAAATTATTTTCGTTGGATTGTTGTAGGTTTTTTCAGGCTATATAGCCATGGTATAGAGGCATTCTCTCCTGACGTTTCGCCTGCATCTATGGCAAGCATCCTCAGAGGTAGTGAGGTCTGTTGGAACTAGGAAAAAGGGAGAGCCGTTCAGCAGTGGAACTCTCTGCCCCAGAGTGTGGTGGAAGCTCCTTCTTTGGAAGCTTTTAAACAGAGGCTGGATGGCCATCTGTCAGGGGTGCTTTGAATGCAATATTTCTGCTTCTTGGCAGGGGGTTGGACTGGATGGCCCATGAGGTCTCTTCCAACTCTTTGATTCTATGATAAATAATAGATATATTTTGGATTTTTTTTCAAATTTGTAATCCCTTTACCCTTTATTTGAATACTAGCTGTAGCTGCCACGCATTGCTGTGGCCAACCTTCCCTCTTTCTCTCCTTTCTTCCTGTCCTTCCTTCCCTCCCTCTTTCCTTTGTTCCTTCCCTTTTTTTCTTCCCTTCTCTCCTTCCTTCTCTTCCCGTTCTTCCCCCCTTTTCTTTCCTCTTTTCTTTCTCTCCTTTCTTCCTTCTCTATATATTCTTGCACTGCAACTCCCAACAGTCCTCCTGATCGATCTTTCTACCTACCTAATCTATCTGAAGGATTGCTGGGAGTTGCAGTTCAGGAATAGGAAATTGGAAATATGCAGGGATTGGGTGCTCTCAAAGAAATCCAAGGAGAAGAAAGCTTGCATCTTGGAAGCAGAGCATTTGGATCCTCCTCCTCTCCTAAATGGCCTGGTCCAGGGGATGCTGGGAGTTGTAGTCCAGAAGAGAGTGCGGATATGCTATTGTGTGTTTTGTTTGCAAGGGGGACTCATTTTGCGCGTGCGCCGTAGCGTCTTTTTGCTTTTTGGCCTTTTTCAGTCCCTTCTGCTGTGTTTTTCAGTATTTTTATGAGTGATGGTCACTCATTGGCCTGATAGGTGTATTGTGTCCAAATTTGGTGTCAATTCGTCCAGTGGTTTTCGAGTTATGTTAACCCCACAAACGAACATTACATTTTTATTTATATAGATAGGTACATAATGTGGTATTTTGACCCACATCTAAGCATGAAATCGTTTCAATTCCATATACCTGGAGGTAATTGTGTACAATATTTTAACAATTTGGTGCATGACACAAAGTTTGGGTACATTGAGCCATCAGAAAGCAAAGGGGTCGCTATCTTGGCAACCTGCGCTGACAATTTTGGAATATTCTGCATTTTAGGTTTCTTCATAGCCTTGGGTCTTGTGCTGGGAGAAATGCCAGGCTTCGCTCCAGATGCAATGCGCAGATGAGTTGCCAGATCTGGAGCTAAAACCAACCAGATGATGGTGTGAGTTTGGCCCTCTTGGTCCTTACTCTGGGTTATTTCTTGTCATGCTTCTGGGTTACCTTCTCACACACAGCTTTTCCCTCAAGCCTTTGGTCCAACCAACCCTTTTGCCTGCATCTTCTCATGAACCTAAGCCCCATTCAAGATACATGCTTCAAAGGCCACAATGTAGCGAACCCCGGCAAAGTACTGAAATAGAGTTGAGTTCTGGATTGTGTGGTTACTTCTGTTTCAATCCTAACCATGCTTCTGTTTTCCTCCATCACCCTTCAACTAAGTTAGATTTTGGATTGTAGGGCCTTTGGATTGTAGGGCTCCTTCTCGCTAAAGCAATGGTTCCCAATCAGTGGTCCATGGACTACCAGTGGTCTTCAAGAACCGCCTCACCGTTACTACACCATTGCAACAAGAATGACTGGTCTTGCAAAACCCTCTTATAGTGTTGAAAACTGATTCGTAATCCTTTTGGTACTAATGTTGGGGAGTGGTCCCTGGTGAAAGTGCTCCCTGATCAAAGTGGTCCCTGATCAAGTGGTCCCTGATGAAAGTGATCCCTGGTCAAAGTGGTCCCTGATCAAGTGGTCTCTGGTCAAAGTGGTCCCTGATCAAGTGTCCCTGGTTAAAGTGGCCCCTGATCAAGTGGTCCCTGATCAAGTGGTCTCTGGTCAAAGTGGTCCCTGATCAAGTGTCCCTGGTCAAAGTGGTCCCTGATCAAGTATCCCTTGTTAAAGTGGTCCCTGATCAAGTGTCCCTGGTCAAAGTGGTCCCTGATCAAGTATCCCTTGTTAAAGTGGTCCCTGATCAAGTGGTCCCTGGTCAAAGTGGTCCCTGATCAAGTGTCCCTGGTCAAAGTGGTCCCTGATCAAGTGTCCCTGGTCAAAGTGGTCCCTGGTCAAGTGTCCCTGGTCAAAGTGGTCCCTGGTCAAGTGGTCCCTGGCCAAAGTGGTCCCTGATCAACAGGCCCTTGGCCAAAGTGATCCCTGGTGAAAGTGGCCCCTGGTCAAAATGGTCCCTGATCAAGTGGTCCCTGTTCAAGTGGTCCCTGATCAAAGTGGTCCCTGATCAAAGTAGTCCCTGGTCAAATTGGTCCATGGTCAAAGTGGTCTCTGGTCAAAAGAAAATTGGGAGTCACTGCTCTAAAGGCATAGCTGTTGAAAGAACTCAGCCTTCTGTTTTGGGTGTGCAGCAGCAGCTGCTGGGAAGTCAATGGAGCACATCCACAGCGATGGACTGGAAGATGATAATGGGCTTTTCCCCTCCCAGTTCGGATTTTATTATGTTTTTATAACCACTATATACGCCCAACAGAGAAACAATCATTGTGTCGCCCAACAGGGAAGAAAGGTTTAACAGTAGAGGGTTTGAAGGCCTGGATGTTTTATTGCAGACACACAGACATTTAAGGCAGATCCTTGCCTTTTTTTGTGCTGTTGTTCCTCTCCATGTCTTTGTATGAATGGTGAAATTTAAAGCAATATAAGAACACAGCAAAATAAGACACCGTTGTTTCCAAATATGATGCAACTTCTCTCTTGCTTGCTGTGTACTTTAGGTAGCTTGCTGGAACTATTATTATTATTATTATTTGATACACAACAAGATTAGTACACAACAAACAAAATCATTGTGCTGGCTGTTGTGTTGGATCACACGTCGGACACTTCCCAAGTGTCTAGGACTGTGTGATCTGTCCGCGAATCATGTATGCAGATCTCAGTAGCTGACAGATGTGATTACAGTGTTCCCTCACTTGTCGCGGGTGTTACATTCCAGGATCACCCACGAAAAGTGAGAATCCGTGAAGTACGGACACTATATATGTATATCGAGTTCCAGTGGTGAGGCAGAAGTGAGGAGAGATTTAAAGGCACCACACACTTTTTTTTGCTAGCTATCTCTGCTTTGCTTTGCAATCTCTCTTGATTGGCTGCCTCTCTCCCGAGGGGGAGGGTGACACCCCCTTCCACACTCCATCGTTGCCATGAGGCGGGATTAGAACGCCGCTCTGGGCAACGGCAACCATTCATAAACTGGGAGGCAAAAACCCGCAAAACAGCAAGTTCGTGAAAAGCGAACCACGAAGTAGCGAGGGAACACTGTATTATTATTATTATTATTATTATTATTATTATTATTATTATTAACACACCTATTCAATGTAGCCGCTAATAATTGATTTTAAAGAAAACCTAATAGAATTGATGATGATGATGATGATGATGTTGATGATGATGATAGGCAGTAAATTAAAAGTAAAATCACCTTCCTATTCTATCCTGGTTGATGGGGTGTAAGGAATTCCAATAGGAACTTGCCCATGTTAAAGGTGTTTCACTCCGGTTCTGGAAACACTTATGACCACCACACCACACAGGAGTCCAGGAATATAATCAAACAGTTTATTGTAAAACACATAAAAAGCATATCAAAAAGCAGGAATAAGAAAGGAAGGTATATAATCCAAAAAGGTTTAGTAACAGGTGATATCTAAACAATAATCCAAACGTCTCATAAAGCTCCAGAGGTGTTAAGGTCCAGGAACAGCCAGAAATGACAGGTATAGTGTAAATCCATAAGCTAAAAGGTATCAGTAAAACTTGAACAGGAACATAAAAAACTTCCAGGATTAAAATCCAAAACTAAAGCTTGACTTGAACCAAGAAGAAGATTCAGGCTTAGCATCTCCCTCTTAACGCAGTGTTGCCTGAACTGACTTTAAGGTAAACAACTTGTTTAATAGCAGTTCGAAAACATGCATATGTGGGTAGATCAATAGGTACTGCTCCGGTGGGAAGGTAATGGCGTTTCATGCAGTCATGCCGGCCACATGACCTTGGAGGTGGACAATGCTGGCTCTTCAGCTTAGAAATGGAGATGTGTATGAACCTCCAGAGTCGGACACGACTGGACTTAATGTCAGGGGAAAGCATTAAGTGAATTTTTTGTCCAACCTTTCCACGTAATCTCTCAGCCTGGCGTGATCTATTTTCGTCTGA